CCCCAAAACCCCAAAACCCCAAAACCCCGTAAAATGCTATATTTATTGAGTTTTTAAATAATCCAGCATGGACAATGTAAGAAACCATTTACTCTACACGCTAATGAAAGCCTTCATCTTTCAATAGAGTTGCATACAGATGACGAATTCATACCAAAACTTGAACCTCAAGATTCCAAAGCCACAAGGAATGAAGTCTAAATAAAGATCTCATATTAGGAGTAATTTTTTCATATATTTTTAATTTTAATAGAACATGAATATACAAGATATCATCGATACTCTTCTCTATGATGGTGAAGAGCCTATGGATATATGACTCAAACTCAGCCACTTTGGAGAGTAGTTATCACTTGTAATTTTTAGCACTAAGGAAGAAATATATTTAAAAATTGTCAAGACAATTACGAGCAAAATCAGGGTCTCCAATTCTATCGACCCTGATAAATCAGAAGAGTACTCAAAAGGCCTTAATAGAGTAATTTTATCTTTAAAAATATAGATCACAACCTTGTTCTGTAAGATTAATCCCAATCTATAATAAACTTGTCTTAGCCACCCTCATGTTAATATAGTTAAGAGATATGGCTTATCATTATGAGTGAAGATAACTCCGTTTGAAAGTTTGCTGATTTGTCTTGCAAAAAATTCAAATTTCAAATTAGTAACCCAAGTCTCATAAAGTATAGCTCTAGCTTACATTATTCACTATGAATTTTACAAAATTGGACCTGCGAGATACTTAAAATAAGCACAGGGATGGAGAGATGAACACAATAATGCATTTAGCAGTAGAATGTGACTCTTATTCCTTTATTCATTACCTTTTGGTACATCTGTACAAAAGGTAAATTCATTGTCAACTCTAGGATTATCAAATGAAGTCAAGACAACACCAAAGAATATGTTACTCAATCTGAGTTGTTTTATAAAATCCTTTCCGAAGGAAATAAATGGTTTGTTTATTCATGAATTTTTAGGCAAGAAAGCTGACTACAAATTGGGGAATCAGTTGATCTCGGATGTACGCCTTCGTGATAATTTGTTAGACAAAGATGTTTCTATGTACATGAAGGTCTTACGGAGAACACTTATTACTAAGAGAAGATTGTTGTACAATCCAAGGGAGCCTCAGACACCAAAATCATCTTGTAGCAAGATGGTAGGAAGATATGAAAATTATGCATCAAATATTCCTGTTGAGAAATTCCAAAAGATAGAATCTCGAGCAGAGAGGACCACGTTTGATTACCAACCTCGGTCTGAATATTCTAACTTCAGTGTCACACTTCCCAGACGAGGTGGAACAGTACATACTTACGGTATTTTCTATAAATTATTCTCAGATGTTCATCGGAGGAAAGGACAAAGTATGATTAACTCTCTTCTTCCGTCCAAAATTAGTCAAAAAGAGAAGACTAAAAACGGGATGGTAAGGAGTATCTCTAGAGAAACAAGGGTCTCAACTGAGGTCTCTCAGATAAGAAATACTAATTAAGAAGACTATAAAAAGCTTAATGATGATGAGTAACAAAAGTCATTACTTTGGAAGCAAGCTTTCTTCATCTCAATCACATAGTACCATTATGCTAATTTGTAGATAAAGTGAGAGACATCAGATTTTTACGGAATAAAAGTCTGAACCATTGGAAAATCCATGCCTCAATCGTAAACCCAAATGAGCTCCCTTTCTATAAGCAAGTGCTAAGTTTTCATATTTTAGCTCTCTCAAAACAGAGTCAGTCTGATCTAATTCCGTCCAAAGAGTTGCCAATTTAAATATAGCTATGAAAAATTCTAAGAGCTTTAAGAGAGCAAATGGAGCTCTAATGCAACAAAATAAGGTAAGTATCATTAGAACTTGCTGCTACACAAAATGTTTTATTTTAGAAGATTACTATAATGAATGGTTTTAGAAATACACTCTTAATAAAGCTGACCAAAGCACAAGGGACCCAAGAAGGTTCAATCTGAAATCATTGGTAAATACAGAGAAATCTCTGAGTAAACCTCATGAGCAATTGCTTACAAACAGAATTCAGATCCCAAAATGCCCAGTTTAATTCATTTCTACAAATTTAACCTTTCAGTGTTTTGGTGAGTTTAAGGGGTTTTGGGGTTTTGGGGTTTTGGGGTTTTGGGG